TTTAATTTTCTCTTTTCAATAAATCTGAGATCATGTGACTTAATTTTTATTATTTTTCTTTGTCAAATCTAACAATTTGAGTTCATTGAAAAATGTACAAACTTTGAAGGGGTAATTTGTTAAAATTTAAACCAGAGGGAGTTGATTGCAAACTTGATCCAAACTTTAAAGGGGCATTTTGTAATTAATCCTATTTAGAATGTGTTCGGTCTAAAATCTATATGAACTTTGGAGGAGAAGGGGAAAGGGGGGGGGGGGCTACCTATTGAATTAAATACCACCCTATGTTACAAATGAAAAAAATATTTAATGCAATAATGATACTATATCAATATTCTCACATGGTATCACCATCAAATAATATGTTAATAAACAAGTAATTGGACTCCACACAAATCAGTAACCACCCCTCCATGTAACATAATAGCTATCAACTCTCCCACCACATCCAAATGCAAGAAAGTAGGGTTTACTTTACCCATTTTGTATCATATTATTGAATGGTGATACTAAAATTCTAGCACTAAATATTTTAATAGTCACACATTTGTTAACAGTTAAAAAATTTTATATGAGCCAATCGTTTAACAACTACATCATCTTAGATTTTTGATGATGTTTGGATCCAGAATATGAGTCGAGTGCTTGAACTGAGGAGCTAAAGGCTTGGCAGTATAATTCCAATGAGCGTGCGAAGGTTGGTGGTTATTTCGTGATGGGGCCTGGAGATTCTTAATAAGCTTGCACACGAAAATAGTAAAATGGTTGAGCTAGGGTTATCAGTTAACACAGAATTATAGTGATTCACTAGCTATAAAGCATGATTAGTCCACTCTCAAATGGAGTCTCTTGCTCCCGGAGATTCTGTATATTTCTCAGAGAAGAAGGATTGATTATAGAGTTTTCTCATATCCCCTCACTCGAGTAAGGCCCTGGGTATTTAAATGTGATGATGATGTCACTATCAAGTGGTTCACAAGTTTATTAGAATTTTGTTGATGACATATTTGGGTCATTTGAGTCTATATTCACTAAGTCGTTAGAGGTTACATTCTCTAGGACTGACGTGACTTTCTAGAATATGTTGTGGTGGCATGATGACTTGTCTTCTAACTTGGACATATGATGATCTCGTACGCCTTTGGCGGAGTCTGCCATTTGCCGAGTATGCTTTGGAGTGAGCTCTCCTATTGAGGTGAGCTTGTTCATAAAGAGATCGGCTCAGCTAGTTGTCTCAATCTCGTAACGTCAATCCTCTTCAAAATTTCTGTGAGGCAACCTGAACGATTCTCCTTGAGGTCATCATAGACCAACCTAGACTTCCTACCTTGGGTAATCTTCATCATATGGCTTCAAGATAGTCCAATTACTTTGACTAAATTATCATTATTTAATGGTGCCATTTTCCGAGTATCATCAATTGTGATAATGTTTATTTACCATGCCAGGTTTTTTTATGATCACACAAGTATTTACCGAATCCTTTTTAAAATTTAGCTAAATAGAAAAAGTATTTGAATATATAAAGGGGAGTCTTTAAGAATCATTGTTTGGTGCAATAATGAAAACGTCGGAACGACAAACATAATGTTGTGTTAAAATATGAGAATGTAAAAATTACCAAATAAATTAGATCTGTATCTAGTCTACCTCGATTAAAAGGGCCATATTGCATAATGGTCTTCTTCTTTGGAAGGGGAATGTTTGGATCTGATTGAAACAATGAAAAAATAGAAAGTTTTTGGCGATTTATAATAGGTTATCTAGAATATTTATGTCCTAGGACATAAATATGAATAATAAAACATGAGGAAAAGTATATCTTGTAGTGGCATAACAATTCTCCTAATCGACTACTTATCATCATAATGAACATTCCACTTAAAAAAACAAGGATTCGCCGGGCTGTTACTTTTTTCATATTTATATCCTCTACTTAAAAATGAAGACTAAAACATGAGTTTCGTGGGAAAAAAAAAGTCATTTATCGAATTTGAAGAGATGACTTAAACCCCTTTCTTAGGGCGTTTAAAGAGCTTTGCTTTTAGTTAAAAGGGCTCATTTAATTCAATTCATGAATTAGCCCATTATGAGTCTATTGTATTTATAAATGTATATAATTATATAGTATTGGACTATATCATTCACTTCTAAACTCAATGGTTCAAATGGAGAGAGAGAGAGAAAAGAAACATTTTTAGGTTGTACACCTTATTTTCCTGGAATTGTAGTTCAATCTATTAAGTCTGAAGGTGCGGATTTGAACCTTGTCAATCCCTACGGATTTCATAAATATAGCAACTTATCTCTCCATTTATCTATGAAAAAAGGGGACAAAGAGCATAATTTCATTTCCAATGGGGATCCTTTTGACTAATTTTCTATAAGAAAAAAAATAAAACCCTTAAAATATGGAATGACTGAGCACTCAGGAATGCTCAATAACAACCTCTCAATTATCACCGCCTAGCCTTTCCTTGTATCAACGTAGCACCTAGTGTGGTCAACACTAATCGTGTTCAGACAATGAAGTTTACACTTATTCAGATTAGTTCATACTGTTATGCCATGGACCTTTTGCTCTTTTGATTGGTAAAAGGTGGTCGGCCATTCATCAAAGCCCAGGAATCCGCTAAACATCGTAGTAGCAGGATTTGTTCGGATCTGATTGAAGTTCCATTTAACTCCCCCCCAAAAAAAAAAACGTAAAGGAGAGCTCTTTCTAGATGGATTGCTTCGCGCCCGACATTGCTTAGGACCAATGGATCACACGACCGGTGCACGATTGACTTTGCACGTTCCATCCTTTGGCCCTTTGCCTATCAACTTGGCAAGCAAGCTACCTTGATCTGTCTTTGGTTTGATTCGTTATGTTCAACAACTTCAACAAGTCCTAAGGTCTCTTTCCACCTAAAACTCTACAAAGAAAGCGTTGACTTACATTTGATCCTATGTGCCCAAAGAATGCTTTGCGTTCTCCACTTATCCGGCTCAAAGAGAACATTTGTTTTCCTCCAAATTTCTATCTCATTCGCGGAGCGAAGAAAGCGGGCTTTGTCCCAGCTACCACTATCCTTGGGAAAACAAAAGAGCGATTGAAGGAAAAGGTTGCAATCTCTCCCTTGGCCTTTGGAGAGGAGAGGGTAGAGAAGAAAACATCATGCATGCAAGTTTTTGCACTCTTACTAGTTTTGGGAGTTTTCAATCAAGGAGGCATTCTAATAGGAAGGCCGACCACTACATAAGCCGCCATTAGTCCATTAGTCCAAAAGAAAAGCAAGCTACATTTCATATTACTTTTGTTGATTATTCAATATCAATTAGTCATCATGTGGATATTTTATATTTGAATTTTTTATTTTTTGCTTTTATAGTCTAGCATAAAATTTGATTATATTATAGCATAGTATACTTGCAATGCCACCCCAAATTCTTGCACACAATTTATTACCGTAATCGAAGTTCCCAACAACCACTAAAATATTTTGTTGTAAAATTAATTTTCCTAATAGCATTTTTTTTCATCTATTTGCTATATATCATTGTTTTGGAATCTTGACATCTTTGTCTTCTTGTTGATAGGTTTTTGAAGAGACAGATGGGTGTCTGTATGAACTGGTTTGTCTCCTCTCTACCACCATTCAAGATTTGTTAAAGGAATCACCAAACTATGCACATGCTATCTTGACCTTGTATAATTGGTTGCTTAATCCTAGTTTTTTTAAGTGACAATTTATTAATAGAGTTCAATTATTACTATTCTTTTAGGTGACAATGTGTTAATTAATTCCAATTATTACAAGGATTATGGAACTTAACCACCCTTCATAGTGTCTCATTCAGGAGCTTACATTAGGAACAGTACTCATTAAACTAAAGTATTAGGAGTCAACATGTTTGTAAACTAATGATTAAACAGTGTTTAACATATAAGGAAATTTTTTGCCAGAAGGGCTTCACTAAATGACCTTAGGCAAAAGACCAAAGACAAAAGCCTAGGTCAACTCAGCTATTTCATATCAAAGCAATTGCTCGACCTCGAAGAGCTATATATTCTACGTACTGATCAATGATGATTATAATATCACATTAATTTAGTATATATATAATTTCTTCTAAATATATTTGCAATTGGGATAATTGTCTTTTCAACATAATTGTATCTTGTCTCGGGAATGGTTGAGTCTTTATATTTTGTTCTGTCCTCAAGTCTCTAAGCTTGTGAAGTCTCGAGTCTGGGTACTGTGTGTACTTGACCAATTCGATAAAATTCTACTCTTTGGATTACCAATGCTACTCTTGTCTTTCTAGATGTTGTCATTACGCTAGTTATATATAATGGAAATAGTAAAGCAAGTAAACCTTTCATTACTATGAAAGAAGTACTGTTTAAGTTCGAAAAGAATAAATCATCGCTTTGCAAAAGCCAAAAAGAAGTAAAACTAAATAAAAAAATGATAGCATTGCTAGTAATATTTAGAATAGTGTTATATTAACCAAAAAAGGGTACTGAAAAAAAAAGAGACCACATGATACGACCCTAACATGTTAGTGTCACCTGAATTGGTGTTATTTTTTTGTGCCATCTCTTGGCATTAGTAGAGAATAACCCGTGGTAGGAAGTATTACTCTTTCTGAAAAAAGGAGCCAAACATATGTATAACACCAATCTAATTCAAATTGATAAATCTCATAAACAAATTAAGGTCCCCAATATTAATAGCCCTGGCCATAACATAGCCACTTTGTGGGTATGGCTATCCATGACTATTTTGAAACCAATTTGGTGTTGTAGTACACAAAAAAAAAAACAAAGAATGTTATCCCCATAATATGAAAATCAAGAACTAAAATGCTATTCATTACCAAGTCCTTCCATTAAACAAAACTTGGTTGCAGCTCTGACTCTAAAATAAAACAAACATGCTCTAACTATTGAAACTTTAGTAACTACTGACTTTGTTCTTGAAAAAAGCTCCAAAAGGCTTACCAACTAACCATTAATATCTCCTCACACCACCAGGTCCACCACGGCCATAACCAGGGGCATAAGGCATCGCCTGTGGTTCAACAGCCTGATTAACGACCCCAGGGAGGTCACCCATGCCAAGTGCAGAAAGCATGTCAATGGTCTCCTTGTCAACCTCTATCACATCGGTCTTGATGGCAGACTCATCAGACACAAAGTCCATGCGCCTCTCACGTTCTTCTTCCTGCAGTTTTAGCTAAATTCCACGAACTGGTCCCTTCTGAATCCGCTTCATGAGATGGGTGGAGAAGCCAGCAATCTTGTTCCTCAGTCGCTTTGAGGGAATAATTGCAACCTCCTCCAAGATCTTCTTGTTTATGTGGAAATCCAAAGTCATTTTGGAGTAATATCTCTCAATCACCTGTCGAGAAGACTTCTTCACAGTCTTGGTGCACACACGACCCATATCTTCAGAAGCTCCTTAGAAATTCTCTAACATTCAAGAAACTAAACAACATAAAAGAAAGTGACTGGTCAGAAGGTTGTCCATAATTGTTAACAAGTTGTTCACAATGATTTGACATGTTGCTACAAAAAACATAGAGAAAGAAACAAAAATAACATTAATCTTTTTTCTCTCAAAAAGTACCAACTTGGCATCAATCCAATGCAGCCATTATGGTTATTTTAGATTTGTACCCTTCTTTTTCTTTTCATATGATTCTGCGTGTTAATTCAATTGGAGAGCCCCTGATAGGAAACTTAAAATCTTATAAATTATTTCATTTTTGTCTGTTGCCCTTTCTTTTTATGCTCAACAATTGGCTTCCTTATAACCATAACTAGATAAATAGAGATGTAGGGTCCAAATGTAGCTCAAATAATAAAAATAATATTATTCGGCAACAATGGATACTTTCAAGAGAAATATGATACGACGTATGGCAAACCCATCCACCAGCTTTTCTTCTCCGTCTTTAATGTGCTAGACATGTAACGATACCTACCATAATGTCCAAAGGTAGACACCTGACTATGTCTGGAATAAGATTTGAATTTCAGGATCTAAGTACACATAATCTGAATTCGATTAGAGAGCCCCTAATAGGAAACCTAAAATCTTATAAATTATTTCTTTTTTGTCAATTGCCATTTCTTTTTATGCTCAACAATTGGCTCCCTTATATAAGATAACTAGATAAATAGAGATGTAGGGTCCAGATGTAGCTCAAATAATAATAATTATTATTATTCGGCAACGATGGACACTTTCAAGAGAAATATGATATGATGGATGGGAAACTCATCCACCAGCTTTTCTTCTCTATCTTTAATGTGCCAGACATGTAACGATACCTACCATAATGTACAAGGTAGACACCTGACTATGTCTGGTATAAGATTTGGATTTCAAGATCTAAGTACACTAATTTGAAATCGATTGGAGAGCCCTTGATAGGAAACCTAAAATCTTATAAATTATTTCTTGTTTGTCAATTGCCCTTTCTTTTTATGCTCAACAATTGGCTCCCTTATAACGATAACTAGATAAATAGAGAAGCAGGGTCCAGATGTAGCTCAAATAATAATAATAATATTATTCAGCAACGATGGACACTTTCAAGAGAAATATGATATTATGGATGGGAAACCCACCCACTAGCTTTTCTTCTCCATCTTTAATGTGCCAGACATGTAACGATACCTACCATAATATCCAAGGTAGACACCTGACAATGTCTGGTATAAGATTTGAATTTTAAGATCTAAGTACACATAATCTAAATTCGATTGGAGAGCCCTTGATAGGAAACCTAAAATCTTATAAATTATTTCTTGTTTGTCAATTGCCCTTTCTTTTTATGCTCAACAATTGGCTCCCTTATAATGATAACTAGATAAATAAAGAAGCAGGGTCCAGATGTCGCTCAAATAAAAATAATAATATTATTATTCAGCAACGATGGAAACTTTCAAGAGAAATATGATATGATGGATGGGAAACCCATCCACCAACTTTTCTTCTCCATCTTAATGTGCCAGACATGTAATGATACCTACCATAATATCCAAGGTAGACACCTGACTATGTCTATTATAAGATTTGGATTTCAGGATCTAAGTACACATAATCTGAATTCAATTGCCCTTTCTTTTTATGCTCAACAATTGGCTCCTTTATAACGATAACTAGATAAATAGAGAAGCAGGGTCCAGATGTAGCTCAAATAATAATAATAATAATAATAATAATATTCAGCAACGATGGATACTTTCAAGAGAAATATGATATGATGGATGGAAAACCCGTCCACCAGTTTTTCTTCTCCATCTTTAATGTGTCAGACATGTAACGATACTTACCATAATATCCAAGGTAGACACTTGACTATGTCTAGTACAAGATTTGGATTTCAGGATCTAAGTACACAAAATATGAATTCGATTGGAGAGCCCCTGATAGGAAACCTAAAATCTTATAAATTATTTATTCTTTGTCAATTGCCCTTTCTTTTTATACTCAACAATTGGTTCCCTTATAACGATAACAAGATAAATAGAGATGAATGGTCCAGATGTAGCTTAAATAACAATAATATTATTCGGCAACGATGGACATTTTCAAGAGAAATATGATATGATGGATGGGAAACACATCCACCAGCTTTTCTTCTCCAGTCTTTAATGTGCCAGACATGTAACGATACCTGCCATAATGTCAAAGGTCAACACCTGACTATGTTTGGTAAAAGATTTGGATTTTAGGATCTAAGTACACACAATCACTGAATAAATTAAGCTGTGTTCTACATCAACCTTTGATAATGCTATATGTATTCTTTTCCTAAAGTGAAAATAAAATGCTCTGATGTTTTGCTTGGATATCTCAAAAATTGAAACAGTTCAATTTTCTATCTCTGAAATTGAACTAAGATCACATGAGATGGTTTTACACTTACTAGGATGTGAGTGATTATAACAACCCTATACATCCATAATAAGTAAATAAATTAGTTCACAAGTGACCAAACCCAATTTGAGAAGGCGAAAGAATCTAATGCACTTGTACTCCCAAACATGACCTTCACTTTTTCCCAAAAATAAAGCAAGCCCTCACTACATCATTCTATCAGTTTAGACATTGATAAACCAGCATATATATATATATATATATATATATATATATATATATATCAATGTCTGAAAAGCTGCCAATAGATAAACTTATTGTCCATTTCACTCCTTAAATACTTACAACATAAAACAAAACTTAGAATCAGATGGCAAGCCCATCCACATTTAAGCCTGTATAAGATTATCCATATCTTCAAATATTCTATTTTTCAAGTTTTCTCAGTAATCAGATTGAACATTCTGAATGATGTAATGCAACACACATTACATCCAACCAAACAAACATCAGCACACACATTCATATAAGATAATGGTAGAGAAAAAAAACATATCAAGAAAAATTGGGAGGAAATTTTATAATGCAAACAACAGAAAACACTGTTGTACATTAGGTACGAAAAATGAGTGTGGAAAGGACTCACCAGAAGGTATGGAGAAAGAGAGAAAAAGAGATCTGGACGCGGCAACAAAATGCGGCAGCGGCTGATGGAAGGGATTGTTCACCGCTGAATTATAAGAGAAGGATTTGGGGGGTTAATTAGGATTTTGGTCTGTAGAGTGTAGGGTGCTGTGAGCAATTATATGGTGCAGGAGCCCCTAGGCTTTTGACGGTGTTGATCAGTGAGAATAAGTCACGTGACCACCAAAAATCCAAAGTTTTGAATTTGGACAATCTGGCTTCATTTTTTTGATAGAATTTCTAAATAATTAAGCAATTTTTTTTTGCTATATATGAAAATAAAAATGATAAAACATCTAATTAAGTTTTTGTAAATGATGATGCACAAAATGTGTTTTTGCACTACCTATCAAATATTAATTGCAATAATAAATGATGAGAGTCAACATAAGTAAAACACAACTTAAGTGGTAGAGTGCTCAGATGTGAGAGATGTCCTCCTTGTGTAGGTGAGGTTTACAGTTTATAGGGTCTCCTAACAAATTGATACGTCTTTTTCGTATCAAGTGAGGTAGTTCGGTGAAGGTAGTGACATGCTCGTCCCAAGGAGATTTCGTCACATGTCATTTGTGGATTAAGTCTCTCGCCATGATGCGGCTAACCTGACTCTCTCAAGATGGTGTGACTGACTGTTCTAGATTCCTCCTTCATACGGGTGGGCTTGGTTTGCATCCTAAATTGTGTTCCTAAATTGAGCCTTTGAACTAGGCCTGATTTATAATCCTGGACATGATCTGTGATTTTGGGTCTGGTCCGTAATTTTTGGGACTAGTCTAGGCTAGGGCCACCAGTAAGTTATAATAATTCTTTTATCAAATTCAAATGAATATATTAATATGTAACTGGACTAGTTTAAGTGATCTCCACGAAACTAAATCTCTCCTCGTGACCTGCTCAAATCCCCTCAAGACAAGAAAAGAAGAAGAGCAAATTATTTGGGTTTACGTTCGTATGATTTATTTTCAAGTTTTGTCATACCTTTTTTTTTTTTTTTGGATCAGCAAAGAGATAAGTACAAGAAAGAGATTAACTAGAAAGGAAAACTAAGCGACAAAATAAAGCAACAATGTGACTATATTGTCCATAAGATCCTCTTGGACTGATTCTTTTACTAACTGTGGGCTCTCATTTGCCATGAGAGTGCCTGTATACCTCAATGTCATACCCCACTTCGCTAATTCATGTGTTGCGTCATTTACATTCCTTTTAGTGTGGACCATGGACTAACCTAACTTTTCAGCAATTTGAATTTTTATGTCTTTGATGATGTTTTGAATGGACCAGTGTGGCTTAATATGTGGTAGCATGACTGAATGGATCATTATTTGATTATCCCCTTCAAAGGTGACATAGTTCCACGCTACCTTTTTTGCCCAGCTTGTTGCATGTCTAGTAGCTAATGCTTCAGCTATGAGAGGGTCTGTAGTCTGAGCTTCAGCAAGTGTGGATGTTAACATTGCTCCTTTAAAATTCCTTGCTATTGCTCCCACCCAGACAATTCTTTGACCCATTGCTGCATCAAATTAATCTTGATTTCCCCCACTTGTGGAGCCTTCCATTGGTTTTGGTGTAGAGAGACTGTAGGATTAGTATCTGATGTCCTGTTGTTCTCTGATAGAGCCACAAATTCCCTAAAGGTTTGGAGAATCTCATGGAGGATTTGTTGAGGATTAGGTAAAATCTATTGGAACAAAATCCTGTTCCTCCATTTCCATATTGAATTTGCAAGAATTGTTGTGAAGAGTCTAAGCTTGGAGTAGTGCGGGCTGGAAGGACCAAAGAGAACAGTAAGGTTAAGAATGTTATGCAACCAATCCTGTATAGTCAAGTGGGGAAAAGAATCTGGGTGAAAACTCCATTTGGTGAACCAAATGGATCTAGATAAAGGGCATTAGAAAAATAGGTGGACATCTGTCTCCGAGTTGTGGTTACAAAAAGGGTAGAAAACATTTGCTACATGCATTTTGGAGGATAATAGGCTTCTTGTGGGAATACTTTCAAATGCTATGGGAATACTTTCAAATGCTATGCGCCAAAGCATGACTTTGTGACTTTCATGGAGGGGTGCATGCTAAAGCTTAGTCCAATCCTTTGGTTCGAGGTAAGTGCTTAATTGGTCCGTTTCAGCTCTGTGAATTTTGTATCGAAGTGGCTTGTTTTGTTGGGGATCCATGCCCATTGGTCTTCTCTGGGGTAGATTGGAAGCTTAATCTTTAGGATTGCTTGAATTCTTATAGGGGAGAACAACTTAGATAAAATAATCTTCTTTCCATTCATTTATTTGGTTATCAATTAATTAAACTACAAATGTTGGTAGATGGTTCATGTACTACTTTGGCTGCACTCTAAAATCTGGTATGTTTGGTACCCATGGCTCTGTCCAAATATTTATTGACTTCCCATCACCTACAAGGTAGCAAACACCTTTCATAATCAGTGGCCTGCATGAGAGAATGTTCTTCCAAACTGAAGAGTCTTGAGGATGTTGTTGGGTATGTATAAAGGAGGATCTCGAGCAGTATTTTCTTTAAAACTGAGTAGTCCATTGCTTAGCTGGATTTGAAATAAGTTGTCATCCCAATTTAGCCATGAGTGATTGGTTTGTGTCATATGCCTTCCTAAATCCTAGACCTCCTATCTGCTTGGGTCTGCACAAATGGTCCTAGGAATTTATTACTAGGGCATTGTGCTTTTCTAAAGCCCCCACTGAAATTTTGGACTTTCTTGTCAATGATATTACAAATGGTTTTTGGTAGCTGGAAAGACTACATTGCTTAGACTGGCATGACAAGGGCAGTAGATCTGATCAATGTTGCTCTTCTTGCATATAACAACATTTTTTATTTCCACCCCTGAAGTTTTGAGTCTAGTCTATCAATGATNTAAGCTTGGAGTAGTGCGGGCTGGAAGGACCAAAGAGAACAGTAAGGTTAAGAATGTTATGCAACCAATCCTGTATAGTCAAGTGGGGAAAAGAATCTGGGTGAAAACTCCATTTGGTGAACCAAATGGATCTAGATAAAGGGCATTAGAAAAATAGGTGGACATCTGTCTCCGAGTTGTGGTTACAAAAAGGGTAGAAAACATTTGCTACATGCATTTTGGAGGATAATAGGCTTCTTGTGGGAATACTTTCAAATGCTATGGGAATACTTTCAAATGCTATGCGCCAAAGCATGACTTTGTGACTTTCATGGAGGGGTGCATGCTAAAGCTTAGTCCAATCCTTTGGTTCGAGGTAAGTGCTTAATTGGTCCGTTTCAGCTCTGTGAATTTTGTATCGAAGTGGCTTGTTTTGTTGGGGATCCATGCCCATTGGTCTTCTCTGGGGTAGATTGGAAGCTTAATCTTTAGGATTGCTTGAATTCTTATAGGGGAGAACAACTTAGATAAAATAATCTTCTTTCCATTCATTTATTTGGTTATCAATTAATTAAACTACAAATGTTGGTAGATGGTTCATGTACTACTTTGGCTGCACTCTAAAATCTGGTATGTTTGGTACCCATGGCTCTGTCCAAATATTTATTGACTTCCCATCACCTACAAGGTAGCAAACACCTTTCATAATCAGTGGCCTGCATGAGAGAATGTTCTTCCAAACTGAAGAGTCTTGAGGATGTTGTTGGGTATGTATAAAGGAGGATCTCGAGCAGTATTTTCTTTAAAACTGAGTAGTCCATTGCTTAGCTGGATTTGAAATAAGTTGTCATCCCAATTTAGCCATGAGTGATTGGTTTGTGTCATATGCCTTCCTAAATCCTAGACCTCCTATCTGCTTGGGTCTGCACAAATGGTCCTAGGAATTTATTACTAGGGCATTGTGCTTTTCTAAAGCCCCCACTGAAATTTTGGACTTTCTTGTCAATGATATTACAAATGGTTTTTGGTAGCTGGAAAGACTACATTGCTTAGACTGGCATGACAAGGGCAGTAGATCTGATCAATGTTGCTCTTCTTGCATATAACAACATTTTTTATTTCCACCCCTGAAGTTTTGAGTCTAGTCTATCAATGATGGGTTGGAAATCTCTAGCATGTACTCTACTTCTAATTAAAGGCAACCCCAAGTAGGTTGAGTTTGGAGGGCCCTTCTTTAAGCCCAGAACTCCTTTCACCCTTCTAATGTTGTCTTTTGCTATGTTTTGGCTATAGTAGATCTTTGATTTTCCTTTGTTCAGCTCTTGACTTCACCACACTTGATATGTTGATAGACACTCATTAATGCACTCTGCCTCCTTTTGATTTGCTCTTCCAAAAATTAGTAGATCATCTACAAACATTAAGTGGGTAATAGCATTGCAATTCCTTGCTATTTTAATACCTTTTAGGTTCCCCTACAAAATTTCCCTAAGAATAAGTCTAGAGAAAATTTTAGTGCATATTATGAACAAAGAAGGTGAGAGGGGGTCTCTTTGTCTGATTCCTCTCTAGGCATGAAGATTTCCAAAGGGTGTACCATTCACCAGAATAGAAAATTATGTAGTTCTGATGCATTGGGGTATCATATTTACAAAGGGTGTAGGGAATCCCAAATTGGTGAGTATTTGCAATAGGAAAGGCCATTCTATTGTGTCAAAAGCCTTGGCCATATCAATTTTGAGCACTATCAAACTTTCTTTCCCTATCTTCTTTTTCATTTGGTGCATGATTTCTTGAGCAAGGACCACATTCTCAACTATTTCACTGCCTGACACAAAGGCTGTCTAATTAGGTGCAATTATACTATCCAAGTGTAGCCTATTTATGTTTGCGAGGATTTTTGATATAACCTTATAAGCTACATTGCACAAGCTAATTGGTCTGTAATGGTGCACAGTAGTGGGTTTTGCTGATTTAGTATAAGGTAGATGTTGGTGTGGTAAGTTTAGTAAGCATGTGAGCTCCAGCAAAAAAACTTCTTACCACATTTACAAGATCATTTTCAGTCGTGTGCCAATATGTTTTGTAAAAAAAGGCAGACATGCCATCTGGGCCTAGGGTTTTGAGGGATGACATAGAAAACAAAATAGCTCTAATATCTTTAGGTGTGGGAATGACACACAATTCAACCCATTGTCTTGTTGGATTACTACCTGAATAAGGTCATCAAGGTCTGTGGGGGAAGTAGGGTTTTGATGTGTAGAAATGTGAGTAAAAATGGGATAAAAAATGATTACTAATGTATTTCTTGTCAACGATCCACATTCCATCTTGGCAATTGACGCAATCAATGAAGTTCCTTCTTCCTCTTATGACTGTATCTAGTGCCTTCATCCACTAGATACGTGATCGTTGGTGCTAGAGTTCCTCCTCCCTTCTAAGTTGTTCATTGAGCTCAAAGATTAGGATCTTCTCCTCCAATAAGGTATCTTATGTGGGTTCCTCTTGCTGTAGATCTACAATTCTATTTCTAAGGGTTCTCCCTTTTTGAATGTAGTTGCCGAATTTTCTCTATTCCATAGTTTTAGAGCCCTTTTGGTGGATTGCATCTTCCTATAGAATCTATACGCCATTAAGCCTCTTTGTTCAATTTTCCACGAGCCCTTGACAACATGATGACTAGTTGGTTCTCTTGTCCACATCACCTCAAAATTGAAAGGCTTAGAGGTCAGAGTTTGATCTCCGTATGTATGAAGTAAGAGGGGTGCATGGTTAGTCTTGATTGTAGGTAAGTGGTTAATTGTGGTCCTTGGAACGAACAACCTTCAGTGTATGTTAACTATGCCCCTATCCAATCTTTCCTTTATGTTTGTCAATCCTGATAATTTGTTTGACTAAGTGAACGGGTTACCATTAAAGCCAAGATCAACCAACCATTGATTAGAAATGAAGCTCCCAAAGCCACCATTAGACGGTCCAGCAAATGCCTTTCCCCCTCTTTTTTCATCCTGACATTGTGATATTATTAAAGTCACCAATAAAGAAACTGGGCCAGTTTTTCTCAGTAATGATTTTTTCCATTGTTTCCCAGAGTTGTTGTTGTTAAGCTCTTTTGGTAGGGGCATATATGCAGTTTAGTAGCCAATTATGTTGAGGAGGGTCAGAGAGGATGGTAGCAAATATGATACTTCTAGAGGAAAGGATAACCTCCAACTATATTCCTTATTTCCAACACAAAAATATCTCTAGATAGCCCTTTGGCTGGTTGAACTTCATGTCTATGAAAACCAAGACCCTGAAGAATTTTTTATGCTTTTCCTATTTGGATTTTTGTTTTTGATAAGAACATAATATCAAGATCCAGATTCATTATTTGGGCCCTTACGTGGAGAATTATCGACGCATGGGCTAGCCCTCGACAATTCTAAACATTGGTAATCATGATGGAGGTGGGGGCATGGTTAGGCCTGCCTCCTTAGCCATAGAGAACTCTTCAGTCAACTAGACATTGATTCTTTTGGTGGTGAATTTCCTGAACATTTTCTACTCATAGGTTTTTTGGGTCATTTGGGAAGTAGGATTTGAATTTGTGTTTAAATTTTCCTCAATCATGGGTGAGGATGGGTTTGAGTTTGGAGATTTCTCAGTCTGGTAGGTAAAATTGTTGTTAGAGGGTTCTTCTACTGTATATGAAGTGGTATGTTGGATTGGAGGTTGTAGGTTACATGGTGGAATGATGGTTGATGAAATGACACCTATCTCTCTGCGAACATACTTTGTAGCCCTGTTGTGGAGTTCTTCTGAGGGTGATTGTTTAAGGGAGAGCCTTTTGAGAATATTAGCCATACAAATGTCCATTTATGGTGGTTAGTTGTTGGGATAAAGGTGGAAGTTGGATTGAGGTGAGCTTATAAAGAGATGGTATTTGAATAGCAGCTAGGTTGAGGAGGTGTTTGATTTTCATTTGGTTGAGTGTGGATTAAGCTTTGAATGAACGATGTTTGACTTTTGTGTTGAGTTTGTAGTATGTTATGTTCTAGGCTTATTTCATGGGCTTGTGTAGGCTGATTTGAAGGGCAGATGGTATGGGCTTCAGGCTTTTTTTGTTGGGTCTTTGTGGTTGAGGGCATGGATGTCATTTTGGGTGTGAGGTTTAGGGGCTTTTGTGATGAAGGGGTTGCTAAGTTGCTTTTAGGGTTTTGATGGGTAGGAGAAAAAGGAAGTTTCAATTCGTTCAAACTCCATTATGGTGAGTGCCAAGGATAGGGAGCCACGTGTTTGCACCTCCATTGGTTCCACGGTTATTGGTGAAGTCAATCGTGTCAAATTGTCAAGCGTTGATGCTAGTACACTGACATGTTGGAGGATGTGGTTAGGTCGCGTGTTCATCCTTTTTGCAGTATCACACGCCCCCATGGTGGTTGTTTTCGATCTCTTTTCTGGCAATGGTGTCTCTAGTAGGGTCCAAGGCGAAGCTCGCAGGTGAGGCCTAAATTTTACCCTACACCCGGAGGTGCAAAATCACAACTTGTGTTCTTATGCCCAATTCTTCCACACCTATAGCAGAAATCACCTAATCTCTCATATTTGAGGTCAATCAATTTATTTGGGAGACATTCTCTTGGCATTTTGAAATAGATATGAAGAAGTATTTTGAGGTCTATTAAGACACAATTTCGCAGATAATTTCGCTAAATTGTTCGTTGATGGGTTTTTTGCTTAAGAAATTGTGGTGTACCTATTGCTTCTGCTATTCTGGGATGATCATCTTCAGTGGTAGTCCATATTCTTGAACCCAGAATGGCACAGTGGAGAAATCGATCTCTGCAATGGAGGTTGCATTTGGCCATTGTTTCAACACAATTAATTGGGCCTTGAAAGACCAAGGGTTTTGGAGATACACTATTTGCTTTTGTTCCTCTGTTTCAAAAATGAAAATGTAAGTTCCGCGCTCACCATCCTTGATTTGTAGCTGATTGTTGATATTCCAAGCACGGTTGAACACTGCTTTAACAGCATTTCTATTGATTGTTTTATTGGAGAGAATTTTCCCTACTGGGCAACAGTGGGTTATAAGCTTTGTTGTGGAGGTATATGGCTGAAGATTTATCATGAGGCTTTGGCTTCCTTGAGTTTTTAGACAGTCTGATAGGCTTAAATGAGGTTCCTGAGTATCCATTGTGGGTGGGGTGGGTGATTGAGGGTAATTGAGGTTTAGAGCTAAACTTGGAATGGGGACAGTGTGAAATGAGAGAGAGGCTTTCGTAGAATATGGGTAAGTCTATTGTTGGGGAGAGAATGAAAGTAGATAAGTTTGATGAAGGGTTGCAGATTTGATGAGGAGAAAGTCGGCTTAAAGTGGGCGGTGGGTGAGGTAAAGGCAATTTGAGGTGGGTGGTGGGTGAGATGAAGGTGGTTTGAGATGGAGATAGGCGAGAATCTACAATAAAATAAATTTGATAGACAAAGCTAGGGAGAAAAACAAAGATGATCAGGGAAACTGTGATGATTGGGTACTAAGAGGGTCATCTTGAGTAACAATGAGCATCTTGCTCAAAGGGTTTTCACCATTGAAGGGAGGGGGAGGAGCACTATGTGGGGAGAGGTGGTTTGTCATACCTGAATTCACACATTCAATTCAAAACCAAAACTAATGCGGCATTTGGGAGTGTAAACTTTGGTCTTTATACCTTGGTTCCATGCTTTGAAACCCAATATTGCAAGAACCTAACCTAATTGATCATCTTTGCCTAACTCAAATTCATTTAAACTTTAAAGAACTTTGGACACCAATATATTTTATAGAACTTATTAGAGTAAAAGTGCATTTAAAAAAAAATTGGATAAAAGTTCACTTTGAATGAAAATGGTTGTAATACTCTCTAACAACACTCAGTGAAGCATCAAAACCCAGTTATGGAAACTCAAAAGACGTCCCCTTGAATCACACAAACCGTTCTTCACCACCCTCAAACATGGAATCCGCTTTAATTTTTAAACGGAAAGCCATTGATTTTGCTCATTCCAAATTTTTAATCAAAACTTTCATAACACGATTTCTATTTAAGGGCAGTGGAAATTTTTGAAATCAAATTTTTCAGAATCAAAATACGATTTTCGTCGGCTAGAAGAGAAAATGAAACAGAAAAACCAACCTATCAAGTTGAAGTTTCCAACACCAGAATTTGACCCTTAGGACCATTTTTTCAACATATTTGTCTCGTCATCAACGAAATACGGTTTTTGAGTAGCTTGCACTTTAATATGTTGTTATATTGTTGTTAAGTAACTTGTCACATCTTTTTAATATGTTGTCACAATATTTTTGAGTATATTGTCATATAATTTTTCAGTAATCAATCACAATTTTTAAGTAATTTATCACATTATTTAATATGTTGTCACATTATTTTTGAGTATATTGTCACATTTTTTTTCAGGAATTCCTCACATTTTTAAGTAACTTGTCACATTATTTAATATGTTGTCACATTATTTTTGAGTATATTGTCACATTATTTTTCAGAGACTTGTCACCATTGTTGAGTAATTTGTCACATTATTTAATATATTATCACATTGTGAAGAATAAAAATTTGGAAAAGAATCTGGTTCGAACAAATGTCTGGAATACAGAACACCAAACAAAATACAATTGTACAAGATGATAACAAGCCAAAAAAAAAAATTTGCAAAAAAAAATGAATAGAGAATGCAGCAGCAATCAAAACATTTTATTAGAGAAATTTGAAATTTTGAAAAGCTCTAAACGATTTTTCGAAAAAAATTGAAATAGTGAAAAAGATGAAATCTCGAGATAACTAAAACACAAAACCACAAAGAAAAACTTCTTGTTGCAGACAAAAACTCGTTATAATTAGAATAAAAAACTACCGAAAAAAAAATTGTTGTAGACAAAAAAATCGAAAAGTTTTCTCAAAGAAAACTATAATGTTGAAGAAAAGACAAACTTTCAATTCAAAAGAATAAAGCCAAAGATCAATTTTTTAAAATTTAAACGGTTGAATAAATCAGAATAACACTATAAAAAAAAATCAAATATTTTTAAATTTGAAAAAAAAAAAGAAACTGCCAATCAGTTATGCTTGAATCAAGATAGGGATAATTAGTGAATATTAAAAAAAACTGAAGAGTGTACTTACTTATAATTTTTGATACTTTTTTTGGACTTAAATACTTAGATGTTAAGACTGAAAACTTATATTCAAATAAGACCTAAAATGTGAACTCACACCCAATTTCCCCTATGGCAATGGTAGCAGTATTGTGTTTTTTATTTATGCTTAGCTCAATCAAAGAAGACTAAGGTGAGAGAAAATAAACGAAGTTACTACACAAAAGATGATATATTTGCAAAAAAACAAATTTACAATTACCCAAAAATAACGAAAAAAAAAGTATCTTTTCACATAACTCTTATAGCCTCAATTATGGAAATTTAGTCCCTTTTGCTTAGTTTCGTATACTCAGAATAGTTGCTGGACAAGGTTGGTCTTTTGCTGATAAAGAAATCAGGTCGTTCACCTGCTATAGCACTTCGTCCCGAGCGTGGTCTTCCACGCATAATAAGTTTCTTTATCAAGGACCCGGGATGTACTTTTTTACCCAAAGATTACATACAATTTGGTGTCATGAAATGTGTGGACTTCCCCAATCGTGAAACGCTTTAGCTAAAATTTCCCGGTATGTGATTGCTCTCTTTATATCCAGTGCAGTGCAGTCTTAACAAGATGACAGTTCAATGGAATCACGAAAGTCATAGGTGGTACCTGTGAATAAAGAAGCAGGGTTAACTTGAAAAAAGTTTGCAGATTATGCAGAGTGACTCAAGGAAGTTATCTTCTTCATTCCAAACTGTCTTGCAAGGCCAGTTTTTACTACATAGCAAAAACTGAAAAAGCAATTATAACAAAAAATTGACAAAGCTGGAGGACTTCTAGAAGAAATATTGAAGAAAAATAGAAAATTCACATAACAGTATATGGCTTAGCCTTTAAGCTGATGAAATTTAATATGCTGAAAATGTTGCTAGAATGTGACGTATATTCCCATTATCATCGTGTAACATACACAGAAATCCACAAAATTAGCTTCAATTCACTATAACAATAAGCATCCATGGTATTGGAAGACCCAGTTTGGAGCAGGACTCGGACAATATGCCACAATCAACACACAACTTCTTAGAAGCCTATACCAAAACACTTCCCAACATCATATGCTTGCTCATATTGAATTCCTAGCACATCACAAATATGAAGTTCATGCGTCTAAGAGCTACCATAAAAGAATTTCTCCCACCCCGAGTGTCTTTTCCAGCATCAAGCGTAAAATTCACATTGCACAAGAAGAAAAGGAACAGCAACACCAATTGAGCATTTGCTACAGGCTGTAATTCAAAGATTACAAGAAGAAATAACTGCTCACAGGTTCGTTTTCGTAATGGTTTTTTCTGTTCCTTGCGTTAATATTTCCCATCCATCTTTCACAAAAATAGTGTACCAACCAAGGCAAATCTCCGGGTTCCTTATTAGTTCTGATTCTTTTTTCTAGTTCATTAACAATTTCAGTCCGCTTGCAGTTACGACACATTTGATGAACTGCTAAGTGTGGATGATTTCATGCAAAACTAACATCTTATGCTCCACTTGCAGCCTTATGGTTCTGCAGGATAACCTGGTGGCTTTTTAAACCTCAACATACCATAAGTTGCCCATATCAAGGATATTTGGCTTTAAACAAACAGCGAAGAAAAATTGCATTGTTGCATGAATTTATTTAGATCACTACCGAGTACATTCAATTTGCAACAAGCCAGGAAGCGACGCTGTTTAGGACTTGGGTAACCTTGACCAAGCAACAGAAAGATCCTAGTGCATCATATTTAACTTAATTTGTATTACAAAAAAATCTTTTCTTGGGAATAACAAGAAAAATAACTTGCTACGAAATTTTAACATTCATTTTTGAGATGATCATAGTCATTCTGATATATGCCTCCAAATTCAATGAAAAAAAGATTGAAGACTATAAACCTATGTATTGTGCGAATAAGTACCAAGTGCTAACCTCCAATACATTGAGATGGAGTGATATACATTTCCCAAAAAATAACCATCATTTGTCCCTGGATGAGAGTCCCACTTTTCCTGCCAATTTCACGTTAAAGAAGTACATCTGTAATCTGAATATCCTTAGATACTATGTAAATGAGTACAAAGAACTAACCGTCATTTCTCCCTATACCAGTCCCCACTTTTCCCACCTTCTTTGCATTCAAGGCGCACATCTGTAATCTGGATATCCTTGGAAGCAGCCTTGCACATATCATAAACTGTTAGACCTGCAATGGTCACAGCTGTCATTGCTTCCATCTCTACCCCAGTTTTTCCTGTGGAAGTAGCTTCCCCTTCTACTTCAACACTACAATCCTGTGAGTTCAAAGTTAGGTCAACACGAACATGAGTCAAGCTAATGTTGTGGCATAGTGGGATGAGGTTGCTTGTCTGCTTTGCTCCAATTATTCCTGCAATCTTTGCCACACTGAGAACATCTCCCTTGGCCATCTGGTTGGCAGAAACCAAATCAAACACCTTCCTTCCTAAAATTACTTTGCAACTAGCAACGGCAACTCTCTTGCTACTCTCTTTGTGAGAGACATCAACCATTTGGGCTTCACCTCTGTTGCCAATGTGAGTCAAGCCAAATTCATTTTCTGCTGTTTCTGGAGATACAATCTGGGAATCCTGAGCAATAAATTGGTTGTCAATAGCACTACCAAGACTATATGGAGGAGGTTCACCAAAAACAAATTCCAATTCCTGAAAACAAAATGAGCACATAGATATAATGAGAAACTGCAGATAGCATCCTATCTCATACATTGGTTTACATTTAAAGAGAGTTCTCGATATCTACCACCGAGTGGCAAGTAGAATAACTGTAATAAGATATTTCTTGACATAGGATTAACCATCAAACTTATTTCTCCTTGAGGTTGGACTAAATATGGGGTCATACTCCATTGGTAATGGTAAGAAGAGCCCCATCAACGTTGTATCAATGCAAAACAGGAATAAGATATAATCAAAAAAACTCCACGAACATCATTCATTAGCTAAACACCCAATATAATCATGAATAAACACTGAAATTTCCTATCAAAAAAATTAACAGTGAAATTGAGCTTAAAGACAAAGGCCAAATATATAAAAATATGCTACCTTATTGAGCTCTGCAATACCCTTCCCAAGATCATGACTATTATTACTACTAAAGAATCTTCTTGAGAGACGTAATGTTGATGAAACCCGATGAAGAAACATGAAGGCAGAGCTCGGATTCTGGTGGCACATGAGGTCAATCACATGAAAACCATCTTGCAAATATGCATTTTTATGGCAAGATAAGGTATATTGCAGTAACCAAAATCAAGCATTCCCACTCGAAGAATTGCAAGAAAAAAAAAACACAAAATGCAAGTAGGGTTGAAGTTTGATTTTAATTGCTTAACCCTTACCAGGACTGTGCTCTAATCAGAAGGTAATGTTGTCAAACTATGCCTGGTAGGTAAGCCCTTTTTGTGACAAATCTTGTACAACGCCGCTTCATTGCAATTTTCTACGTAACATCGATTGTTTTCTATCCTCGTTGTAGAACCTTCTGCCAAAGGCTTAGGAGATTAATAACTCATTAAATAGTTCTCCTTGAAGCGTTGTTGAGGTATATTTTCCTTTACAACAAAGTGCTTAAGTGATCAAGATACCCCTGACTAGCAGGAGAAGAAAATAATTTCAAGATAAATTCGATAAAAAAAGTATTTTGTTTTCTTTCTCTGGTAATGAGTGAGAGACACATCTTTGAGGAACATAAATAAATTTTAAGGCAGTACCAGGACATGCTAATGAAAAAATGTGGACATATACCAAAATCTAATATGGTATTTGATCATTGACTTTTTCCAAATCTACTATGTTATCCTTACAAATTTATTATTCTGCAACATAAAATCTGCATATATTTTTCTTTCATATCTATATTTACGCCTTATTTTAGCTTTTGTAATGTCATGTAATGTTGAATTAAATTCATGAATTGAAATAATGGTGGTTAAATAGGTGGAAGAATGGCATACTATGTTGAATTGATTGAGAATGTACTATGTTCCCTACCCAATTTAATTGTAAAGAAAAGAATGCATGGAGTGAAGGAACAGTAGTTTGTAAAAAAAGTTGGAGGAATATGTTGGCAAGAGAAATGGCACTTGGTTGCTAGCAAATGACTTTTGGAATGAGTATTTCATATTATAGCATGACAGTGTAGTGTACCAAATATATCATTGACATTGTAAAAATAATAGCACAAACCAGTAGAAATTGCTGTAAAAGAGCAACTCTACCAATGCAAATTTGTGTTCATGCCAATGCCATATTTGACGCAGCTTCATTGCCAATATGCTATGTTTTGGAATTGTAGCTAAAATAATGCATAACAAAGGGTATGTCCATTACCAGGAAATGCTAAACAACTGCAACTTTTTGCAGCCACCATTTTTCTTGCTATTGGATATAATTTCTCCATTTACCAACTATCTCGCCTACTAATTATCATTCCTCCACCTGCCAACTGAACTCATTGTCAACAAATGATGTGATCTGTTGCACTTCATCATATGTTCACATATGTTCTTATCGAACACTTACTGTCACAAGGGACCAAGTGTTGATTATTTGTGTGTCTAACTCCATGTAATTGCAATGTCTCTATTTGTAATTCGAATTAGACTTTTCCTAGTTTCATAGTTCGTCTTTTACAAACTTTAGTTCATTAATTCAGTTTAACCACACGTCACGAGCAAATTATAAGGTGAAGATACACAAAACAAAAAAACAAACACAATAAAATTTGTGCAGAAAAATAGTAAAATTTTTAGTACAAAAAGAATAGATTTGAAGAAAGTCAATGATCAGAATGACATGCAAAATTTTCTCAAATGCCAAACGTGGTACGTCAGATTTTGACATTGACTGATTGACATACTTGCGCAACTTTGGTGTTGCTGTAACCTGAAATACATGACATAGGATTCAACATTCACAAAATTTGTCAAGAAGGTAGCAAGGCTTTTGAGAGAAAGGTATTGGGATTCGTGCTAAACTTATAGCTTCGGCAGTCCAAATAGCAAGGATTGAAGTTACACATAAATATTGATTAAACTGAGCTTTTGTACATCTCCCTTTGATAATGTAGTTACACTTTTCCAAAAGCCAAAATAACATACTCTGATGTCCTTCTTGGATGTCAAACAGACATGAAATGATTTCGTTTGTCCATTTTTGAACTATAGTACTTCACCAATTATATTGTAGGTGATGAAGAAAACCATGTACATATTTAATTGTTAGCTTATCGTTCATTTCATAGCAAGGTATTCGGAAAATTATATAAGCTATTGAATCAGATAGAGAGCCCCTCGACATTTAAACATGGGATAAGAAAACCCATTTCTTCAATTCCATTTTCTTTCTGTTTTTTGCCGGCTATCAAATCGAAAATTTTCAAGGATATAATGCAACCTATAAATACATTCCACCCGATATAATGCAACCTATCTATGTATCTCTGTGTGTGAAATACAAGATAATGAAAGGGAAAAAATAGAAATCAACAACAGAAGGAAACAAAGGACAGAATTGCTACCGTTTTCTACTTTGCTTTCTCTCGGAAACCAAACGGAAGGTGAGTGCGAAAGAGACTTACTTGATCCTGTGGAGAAAAGAGAGGCAGATAGAGAAGAGCTCTGGAGGAAGGCTATTCTGCGGGTAGTAGATGACGAATCGGAAAAGCGGTGAAGTATAAAAGAGAAGGGCCTGAACTTTGGGGTTAATTAGTATTTGCGTTTGCAGGGCAGTGCGAGCTGTTAATAATATCATAGTTATCAGACCCGGCCCAAACTCAACCGGACAGGGGATCGGGTCAACAAAAAATAACCAACTTGTGCACAATGCATTCATTCAAAGGCAATTATTAAGTACAGAAAATATATACCTGTGTCAATTATCAAACTTCAAGACTCCAACAGTCCAATTTTCCATCAATCCAAGAAGGCAAGAATAGTTCATGACATTTGCAACATTCAAACCCTAGTGAATAAGGTACAGTAGAAGGGAAAAAAACAAAATGTGATATGATAGAAATTTTATGGGAAAATGATATGATATTTTTTTGGAAAAACCTAACTGAGAAATTGCTTCTTTACGATGTGATTGTGATTGCGGAGAGTGAAGATAGAGAACAAAATTACCTGATTCTGGGTGGTCTGGGTTGCTGCCTGCTTCAGTGCTTGGACTTTGGGATTCCGCAGATGAGATACCTGTTCAAGGACATGGAAAATGGAAGAGTGAAGACAGAGAGCTACTCTACACTGACAGACAGTCGGAGATAGATGAGAAAATATTCGGTGCTTATCAGGTGTCAGGCTGTCAATGACAGCTGGTACTCATCACCAATCAATGGATGCCACCTCAAGGTAGGCAGTGGAGAGAGAAAAATTGAAAGACAACCTATATTGAGGTGGTATCTCTTGATTGGTGATGAGTACCAGCTGTCAATGACAGCTTGATACCTATCAATGACAGAATATGATGTGGCATCCATTGATTGGTGATGAGTACTAGCTGTCATTGACAGCCTGATACCTGATAAGCATTGAATATTTTCTAGAGATAGATAGTGAGTAAAAATTGAAAGATTGGGCCTCCTTTAGAGCAACTCTAATCATGCTATCTAAAATATTTATATGATAAAGTAAATAAAGTAGCTTACAATTTAAATCTCAAAAGATAAACAAAATGATTTTTGTTATTCGCGGTTGAGATCGCTGCCGCCGCCACCACCAGTATCACCGCCACCACGGTCATTGTCAACCACCACAACCATCACCGTCTCCTATCACCACCGATGCCGCCCACCACCTTTCATCCCCACTACAAACCGATATTTAATTTCATATATCTCTTCTCTATATTGGTGATTTAATTTTGAATATAAATATAAATATGTTTATTATTTACCATTTTTTATTACTCTGTGCCTTTAGGCACATACAATAACTAGTATTTAAATATTATACTATCTACTTTAGCTAACCACTTTTTCAAATTCACTTCAACCACGCTATCTATTTTAGCTAACTAATTTTAACTAACTATTAATTATTAAAATTTAAAATACTATGTAGTATGTCATGTCATCACCATATTGATGAAAAAAATGGCATTTGTTGATACAGTTTCTAAGCAACCAAAATTAAGTGTAAATAAAAAAATTAGAAGATAAACAAAGTGACAAAAATGATATTCTACATTTGTTAAGCAAGAAATTAGCATTTTCATAATCACTGTCAATCTCTAAAATTTAGATACCTTGGACTCTAACTAGATACCAACCCCCACTAGACACAACAAAAAGGCTGAAAAATCCAATATGTGCAAATGTATTATTGTTAAGAATCATAAAGAATTCTAAAATTAGATCGAATCAATCTCAACACCACCTCAACAGTAGAAAAGCAGCATTGAGAGATTCTAATTATATGACCACACATTGAGAGATCCAACAAAAATCAAAGAAATCAACTCAACAGATGGCCAACTCTGAGCAATCCCCTCTCTCTCATCCTGCAATACCCAAGGATCCAAACCGTTGATGAACAACGTCCGAAAATTCAAATCTCTAAGGGTCCAAATCATAAGAAGTTCCAACCGCGAGGATTCGATTGAAGTGTGCCCTAAATCCTCTCGTCCAAGCCACCAAAACCCTCCCCTTCGCTCTTTCTTGTTCAATGCCCCTCCTCTTCTCCGAATGTTCCTTTAACAAGAGAGGACTGAGTGTGCACATCTTGATTTGGTCTAGCAACTAGTTGCATCTGGACTGATTTGCGATGATGGAGCTTCTGTGGAGTGAGGATTTTGGCGCAAACAATGGCATTTTTTGATGAAGTAGTTAGCCGAGGAGGTCGCTAGAAGAAGCAAGCAAATATCGGGTTATCTAAAATGCCTAGCGGGATACCTAGTTTGTTTGAGCCAATATTTCTGAACTGGCTATCTAAAATAGCTAAAAATTCCCTTTTAGATAACCCCTTGGAATTCCTCATGCATATTTTTAATATATTTTTTTATATAATCTAAGCGTTTATTATTATTATTGATTGATCAACCATCATTCACATTTCATTAAGTAGAAAAATTAAGAATACAGTCAGTCAAAAGAAAAGCTTTAAGCTCGGGGGGAGCCTATCCAATTTAGCGGGAGTGAATTGTTTAATTTAGCAGTTGTCACCCAGTGATTAGTCTTATTATAGGCCCCTAGACTTGTATAAAAAACTAAGTGTTTAATATTGAAATATTACTACTGAGTAGTTAATGATAGAGTATTTTGTGAGTAATTTTTTAAGTGGTTATTAAGATGGAGGAATCATGGGATAAGTTAGTTATTAAGATAATTTTTCTTATCTCGTATTTGAAGGCTTTCTTATCAATGAAGGGTGGGGCTATTTTCACCCACAAATCTTCATTTCCGCCCTCATTTAATTTCTCATTTTCAAACTACTAAGTTCATCTTTTTTATACCCACCCCATTAGTAATTAAGCCTACCGCATGCTATATACACCTCTTTAATAGTTAAGCTCATTCATTCTATGTACCCTCCTTTAATGAAAGAAGTCATCATAAGAAAAAAAATAATGAAATAAGACAATTAGTTTGAATGCATAAATATATTTACAAAACAAGAAAAAAAAAATCAAAAACAAAACAAGTGAAAAAAATCAAACATGTTGAAATAAGGAAAAAAAAAGAATGAAACAAGAAAAATAAAGTAAATAAAGAAGCAGATCGAAATAAGAAAAAATAAAAAAACGAAATAAGGAAAAAACAAAAAGAAAGAAGCAAACTGAAACAAGAAGGAAAAAAAATCAAGCAAAGATTAAAAGAACAAACAAAACTACAAAATGTAAAACCGAATATAAAAAAAAATCAAGCACAAACACAAAATCGAACAAGAAAAAAAATAACAAGCACAAATGTGAAACCTTAACTAGATAAAAAGGAACAAACAATCTAAAAGTATGCATATATCTATACTACTTTAAAAAGCCAGCATATGTGAAAAACATTTTTTTTCATCTTTGCCCTCCACTAATACAATTATACCATCCTTATCTTCCATGATTAATAACACACTAAACCTAATCATCGGATCCAATTTACTTCTCGCATGTTACCTTCTCTTTCTCTTCTTGCCCCTTTCGTTCCCTTTTCCTTTCCTTTCCTTTCCTCTTCCTCTTCCTTTTCCGCTTCAGATATATCCTTTATTTTAGACATCCTTTTGAGGCAAGATGCAACCTATATATATGTTCGTTAATCTTTCTTTCACTATGACTCGAGGAATTTTGCTGATGCGGACAGTGGTGTTCTTGGTTGTCAAGTATTCCATTCGAGTTTCAAAACCATCCAAGGTGGTTTATTCAATCCAACAACTCTTTTGAGTGAGCCCTCAAAACCTTTTTTTTCTTTGGTTACATAATATTAACATTTTTTTGGTTGTTTTACCTCTCTGTGGTATGAGATCAAAAAAAAAAAAATACAGTCAAAAGGGATTACGGCTGCAACCACACTATAGCTGATCAAAGCACAAAAGGATGGTAAAGGGAAGACCAACAATAAACAACAAAATCATTTCGATGCCAGTGTTCGGGTTTATGTTTCTCATTGCATCTATGTTGTTCATCTAATTTCGTACTTGTTTTGAGTTTCCAATTTGTTTTCCTATTTTGGGGTTTGGTTCCCCAAGGGTCTTCTCATAATAGTTTGTTGTGATCTTTTGTTGAATTGGATTTTGAATTTATTGTTTAGATATTGGTTTTCTGTATGTTTAAGTTGGTTGGACATCTCTGCAAAATTGTATGTTAGATAAGATATGTTATTAGTTATTAATTTGGCTTTAGAAATTTTGTCGATTATGTTATGGGTATTCAAATCTTCATGCACTCTATTGCTATTTATGTTCATGGACTTGTGTTGGCAGAGGTATAAGTAATGCAAAATGAATGTATTGTTAATTAATGTACTTAAATTTATTAAAAATTGTTGAATCCTTTTAATGGCCTTTCCTTTGTGAAAGCAAACACACACACACACACACACACTAACCCACAACCACAGATGATAAAGAAGAAAAAAAATAGCAAAATAGAATTTGGCTTTACTAGGCTGGAACATAAAAACCTGTTGGGACCTCTTCAATGACCCTTAATTTGTCACTCACCCATACAGAGAAGTTTGCACAATGACCAAGTCTGGAGGACATTTAATGGTTGAATTGCTACAACAAATTTTTTGGGGGGAGGAAGGGTTGTGGGCATCTTCTTATAATAGTTAGTTGAGCCTTTGGGTAGAATATACCCTATGGTCAATTGAAGGTCTTGTGCCACTTGAACACAAACCTATCATAACTTCAATCCATTTTTTAGGGGGGTTTGTGATGATGGTGATGGAAGTTTTCTCTGCGACTTACTTTTATGGGTATTTTGTTTTTATTTTATTAGAATTTTATTTAAGTCGTCCTCGTTGCTTTTTTTCTATATGCATGTATATAATCATCTCAATTTGTGAAGACTGGTAGACCAGCTACCTGATGGTGGCTCTCATATGTGTACCTAGCTAATAAGATCTGGTTATTACAATTATTGATATTGTAGTTAACTAATAAGATTTTTTTTCAAGTTGACTAACTAATAAGATAATGCTATTGTCACTTGCTTAAACCTCATATAACAATGGTGAAAGTTGTCATAATTCTCAGCA